CTTCGTTAGTTTCTCAAAATAAATAAACAATTTTAGTTTAAATTAGTACATATAGAGTCATATGTTGTCTTGATATGGCACTAACTCTAAATATTGTTTTAATTAAGCTTAAAAAGTTTAAATGTGCCATTAATGAAAATAGTTCTATTATGAAAAAAAAATTCATATTCTCAAGTCAATAGTTTGCTTTCATAGAATATCAAAACGTGTAACTAGAGTAAAATATTATGTAAAACTAGAGGGTACTTAGTTGAGTGCATACCTCCCCCACGCAGCGTTGATCATATTCGGCCCCCACAAAATAAGAAAATGTGACCGTATGTCCGTTGTTATCAACGGACACGGACCATTTTTGGTAATATAATTAGGAATCATATTCTACATATTTCTACCAAGTTTCATCAAAATTCGACCATTTTTGACTGAGGTATAGAGCAAAAATAGTGTAAAAAATCGGTCCCAACGTTAACAGATAGGGATTTTTTGGATTTTCGTGACTTTGACCCACCACAAAATAATCACTTTTAAGTTGGGTCATAGTCCAAATGTATATCAACTTTCGTCCAAATCCATTCAGCCATTTTCGAAAAATCTTGCTGACAAACACACACACACACAGGAGTGAACATATAACCTCCGTTACCATCGGTGGCAGAGGTAATAAAACTGTCCTCACAAATCATGTGTTGCACATCATAAAAAGGAACTTGTCATGTGTGTATAACGAAGGTATAAATGATTAAATTGTCTCTTTTATTTAGTGGTACTGACACCCAAAATTTAAAAGACTTAAGTAATAGATGCAGAATCCTCCTTTACAGAAAATTGTAGTTTAGATTCGTTGGCAATGACTTTTATTTTAATTAATTCATACTTCTTGTTGTTGATCTTAAAGTTTAAGAAACGTTCCATAAAACTAAATTTAATGAGAACAAAATTTTGTTATCAAACGTTTTTTGCATGATAAAATTATCTACATTCTTAAATTACAACATTGGCTTTTGGTAGATGCTGCCATCTGCAAGGAAGTATGAAATAAATTAATCTTTTCTTGCACTAATACTGGCAATTAAATTTACGTGAATTTGAAAGATAAGTGATATTTAGGATTAATAAATTGATTAATAAATTTAGTTTAAAGATAAATCCACTTACTACACTTTAAGTAGCAGAAAATAATACATTGAAAGAAATAAAGTGCACGCCATCTACTGACAGATAAAGAAATCTCTAAAACACGAATTTTAAGCAAACATATCTTAATTTTTTTGTATGTGCAATAAATACTTCAAATGACTGGAAAAACATTTTTATTCTATTTTTAGATTACATTGGAGGCCAGTGAAGATGGAATGGTTCCTCCTGGACGGTACAAGTACCCCGGAGCAGTGGACCAACGCTAAGGGGTGATTATCAGAACCCACGCTTTCCAACTTCACCCCGGGTTACTATATGTGCATACAATCATAACCCCATGCCAGGGTCAGAGGATTAATGGGGAGGAAATCATACGGATCCCTGGCAATGAAGTATGATACCACGCATACACATACAGCTCGGCCCCACTGAAGATTTGAAAACAAGAAGACCGCTATATAATGTATTGTTTTGATGATTAAGAAACTGGTGTTATTAAACTGAGACATCAATAACATGTACACAGATCTGTCAGTTGCATAAAGACTTCAACTGCTTGATATCTTTAATATTAGTTTGATCATTATTTATTTATTTATTGTTTGCAAAATTGTTTTGTCAGATATCATTTTTATGCAATGAAATATCCCAAAATGTTGTTATATACGAACATTATGTGCTTCCATCTAGCTCATAAAATGACTTATGATCATGCTATGAATGCAGGAAAAGTTTAGCTTAATCTAAAGTAGCGATATCCTAAGTTATAAAAGTAACTGCATGATGGGAAGAACTCAGCAAATCTTTATCAAACATGTAATTTTCACATAGGGACCGGCGATGGCGTGACGTGTACGATTACACTGGCAGTCATTTTGATTTAGAAAAAGAGGGTTATTTTTGATGGTCACTGAAGAAGATTTTTTCACTACTTCTTTGTTGGAGCTACAATATAGCTGCATCTTTAAAAAAATTCTTAAAACAGCTGATGAAATTATATAACGGTAACATAAACCGAAATTTATAATATTTGTTCACCTATTCAATACAAGGCCATATAATTAAAGTTTCTGTGCTATATATCTTTTGAAAGTAGAAATTAAAAATATTTTTCTCAAAGAGGATATCTTAATTAACATATAACAGTAATATTATTCTGTTTTCGTACCACACGTATTTTTGTGGGGAAATAATATAAAGGAAAACTACTACTTAGCAGTGAGTTCAGTTTAAACATATATTACTTCCATGTTTCATAATAGTTTCATTTTTGTTCGTTTTCCTTGTAAGTGCATTAAGGATTTTTATGTAAAATAGAGTGGGAAAATGTAATGGTGTTCTACGTGGAAACAGATAAGAAAATTATTCTTATATGATTTGGGACTAGCGTAAGAGGCAAAAAGGGTGTAGAAAACGATTATACCTTGGGATTTACATGACTTTAAGTGTTTGTAGTTATAACCAGTTTTAAACTATTATATCATGGGATTTATATGACTTCAAGGGTTTGTAGTTATAACCAGTTTTACACGATTATATCTTGGGGTTTATATGACTTCAAGTGTTTTTAGTTATAACCAGGTTTAAATGATTATATCTTGGGATTTGTATGCCTTCAAGTATTTGTAGTTACAACCAGTTTTAAACGATTATATCTTGGAATTTGTATGATATCAAGTAATTTTAATTATAACCAGTTTTTCTTATAAAAGCTCCGTGTTTGGTCAGCGGTCAGTTTACGAATTTACAACGTTAAAATTTGGGGTTCTATTCTCCCAGGTAAACAAAACAGATAGTCCAATATGGCTTTGCTGTAAAACAAGCAAACAAACCATTATAATTAACAAAAAGGTTTGGACCTGTATGACCTCAAGATGATTAAAGGATATTATCCAGTAAATATCCAGCTTCAGTGGCTACACTTTGTTTACATTACCAAGATGATTGTAGGATATTATCCAGTAAATATCCAGCTTCAGTGGCTACACTTTGTTGAGATTACCAAGATTATTAAAGGATATTATCCAGTAAATATCCAGCTTCAGTGGCTACAATTTGTTGAGATTACCAAGATTATCAAAGGATATTATTCAATAAATATCCAGCTTCAGTGGCTACAATTTGTTGAGATTACCAAGATTATTAAAGGATATTATCCAGTAAATATCCAAGCTGAGTGTCGACACGTTGTTAAGATTAGTAATACTGTTTCTAGTAAAAATAAAAAATGTTCGAATGTTGTAAGTTACGTGTGAACGCAGTTTTTATTTAGCCTAAATCAGTATTACTGATGAGGGGTAGTATTTCTCGAAATATGTCTAACCAACATGAGAAATTTGTGAAGAAATCACCAGCATATTCTACATATTAAAACGTCTCGTAAAGAGTTCTATAAGATTAATTAAAAGCAGAATTTCTGTTTGTCCTGTAAAACTCTACAACTGACGGTAGAATATTTGTCAGTGAAATAAAAATAAATACACCATTCTCATATATATCACCAAAGCGGGGAAACTTCACTGATTCATTAACAGAGGTTTGTGCTAATACAATACTGTTTGTCATTGTAATATAAGAGTGACAAACACGTGCTTGGTGTTATTTTAACCGCGGAAGTGTACCTATCAAAGTTGCATCGCGAACAGTCATCAAAAGAAGTACCTCCAATCAGTTGATGTGTATTTGCGTGGATAGAAGAATGTTAATATAAAATACTTTATTACTTGGACTAAAATTAACTAAAAGCTTAATTATAGTAAATAAAACGTTTTGTAGCTCAATCTGTTGACAGTTGGTGGTCAACATTTTACTTTCCACGTGACAGGAAGTGGCAGAAATTGTTATTAGTTGCAGCTTATCGTGTCAGATATTTTCATAAAGTAAAACCTACCTCAGTAATTTAAAAATACAAGGGCTATAAAGTATTTCATAACAGGATACGACTGTCAGAACACGCGGGACACAATGAGAATATATTTGCCACCAGGTGGCTTGTTGTGGAAAATGTTTTACTTACTATGTTCCAACAGATTGGTCTATTTATGTGACTATATTTGAGATATGAAATTTGATGATCAAGTATTATTTCAAAAACGTGAAGTTTTCATTTATACAGCTTATATTTGCCACCATATGGCATTGTTGTGGAGAATATTTTACGTACTGTGTTGCAGTAGACTGGTCTGTTTATGTAACTATATTTGAGATATTAAATTTGATGATATTTTATAATAAAGCATTAATTATGAACGAGATTAGATAAAGCCACCATACTTACATCGGTCACATTGGTGATATAAATGTAAAAACGTTGTCGCCCAAAAAATTTTTATTTTGTTCTGAATATTCACCCACAAAGATTATTTGCGCCATTCGTCCATAATTTGAACTAATATACTACTGGAATAGCAACAGCACCAACCGCCAACTAAGCAAATAGAGGAAGGTGACCACCGTATAGAGTGGAGCACGAATAGGTTATAATGAGACGCAAACCATGGACCCTCGGATTTACAGTTTGGCAAGCTAGTGGTGCCCTGCAAGTCACCAAAGAACTATAACAGTCACAGTTTTGTAGATTAGTATAATTTTATAATGTAAACGTGTCAGAATTCTGCAAAAACAGTTTTAACAAATATCAAGATTTAGGTAAAACGCTGTACGGCTGTAGTAGTGTTTGTTTTATAACTAGTTTGAAGCATTTTAAAAAAATTATAACATCAATAAAGGTCCAAATTTGCTTGTGAATTTCTAGTATAAACATCAAAACTATTTCCAATCTTTTACAGTTTACAAAAAATAAGAAAATAAAAATTCAATGAATCTTAAGTGGTTTTTAGAAGGATAGACACAAAACTACGCTGTTTAGATACACAAGGTGCATCTTTATTAAACATCTCAGACATTTCAATTGTAAGCTTTTTTTATTCAATACAATTATTTGTCTTCTCATCTTTATGTTTAAAATTCAATAAAATAATAATATGAACCCAATTTTTAATTTTTCTTTAATGATAAGTATCTAACTGCTAACGCGACATCTAGTGGTAGCGACAAGAAACAGGATAGAATTTAACTTTTTCGTGCGACATTAAACCTTTCACAATTATAAGTTCTTTAATTATCCTACTAATGTTCAAGCAGCTAAGCCACACACTGATGAAGCTTATATACTTTGCACATTATGACATATTAATACTATTCTCAGTCGTGACATTTCAAAAAAAGTTAGGAGCCAATCAAAGCCCTTGTTAGATTTACGTTCTGACGAAGCAGTATGACGTTAAAATTTTGGACTATTCTGGTTTTCTAACGTCATTGCCGTGCAATCACTATCGTGACATTTACATTTCTAAATCTCATTGAAACAAAAAATAAAACTCAAGACAAAATTATTAAAGTATTTTTTTTTACTTAACTTTATAATTGCAGATCTAAATTTCTACTCAACATATTATTCAGTTAACTTTCGTATTTTTGAACTTTGTTATCAGACATTGTACAATCAATATCTACTTAATATTTATGTTTTTACTATAATCAACGCCAATTATATATATATATACATATATGTATAATGGTTGACAATAGAATGTTACGAAAACATAAATCCTTCATTGATTTAGGGTTAACAATGGAACGGATCTGCGTTTAATCGAACAAATATAATTCTGTTTCATTAAAAAAAAATCTAAATATAAAGGTGATAATTCCTGAATGGAACTGATATAAACCTGTCGCGAGTAAGAAACTAATGAACTAACGTAATATCTTTCGTTTAATCTAAAATATAATTACGAGAAGACGAAGAAAAACTAGGGATAGGAAATAAGAAAATAAAGAATTTTCTTTTGTTCTTTTAGTTGTAAGAAACTTAAGAAATTTTGTTGAGAAATTGAATTCCCGACAATGTTATCATGTACTCTTTTATAATAGCTGTGTTGATTCTGTATTTGCGAAAACAAGAAATTTAATGCAATTAATGTCTTTATCGATAATCAGAATTTTGTATTAACTAAAACTACAACTAAAAGGTCTCCGTTTCTATAAGTTCTAGTGAATTATCGCTCGACGGGTTTATTACGATTTCACTCTCATTAGAAAGTGCGCTACAAAAAATTGTTTATTAACAATGCATATCATCAACACAAGATTGTTTGATATAAATGTGCTTAAAACATCTCCGTGTAAATAATTTAACAAAATGCGTAGTCGGCTTCTCGTAAACATACAGTAGCCAAAATACTTCACTAAAATATATTTGGTTTAATACAAGGCCTAACAAAAAGCCTTCGATTCTAACACCAATGAACGATAAGATACAGGAAAATAGCTATGAAAATCAAACAAACACTAGAAAGTCAACCCACAATGTTAAATATAGCATGCTTCGCGCTTTAAAACTCAAAAAAAAATTTGTAAAATGTTATTCTTAGTGATGTAATAATTTACATAATTATGTGTAAAATAGATAGCCGTTTTTAAAGAAATTTAAAAGTTGCCAGAACACAAGATTTTACACGCGCTGAAGTAATATTTTCAACTTAACAAAATCGATATTTAACACTCACCAGACACATAATAATGAGGATTATTGAAAGGTGGCAGGTTTACCCTGCTAATGAATAAACAAATCATTTACATATAAATGTTGACCGTTCTAGTTAGGCATTAAAACATGAACTTTGATTGGAAAAGAATGGACTTTACCAATGAATTATCAATAAAGAAAATAGATATTAATAACAGGTATAAATCATATTGTTGCAGGTAATTGAAATAAAGAGGTGATAGCTATTTAATTCTTCCTCTAAAGCAGACGTCACTTCATCATGAGGTATACATAATGTATTATCGCACAACAGAGCTACAATCAACAGCAAGTTACGTTTATTAATTGCTAACTAGAAACTTTCCAGCTCTGCCAGAACGTGCTCATCACGCACGAGACACTTTTACTAACACTACTGCATTCTATAGGCTTTAAGCAATTTACATTTCTTGAATTGTAATTTCCACTTCAATCGCTAGATCGAAAGTTCTTGAATGACAAATTTGATTAGCATATTAAATGTTCAAGGAACACCTACAAAAATATTCATTGGGAAAAAATATTCCTTGCAAAATTTACTTGTAAAGAAAATTCCATGAGAGAAAAAAAAATCAAATTATTCTTTTTGTTGTTGATCTGTCCGTTACCTTTTTATATCACGTGTTATGAGGTAATATTTGAATCCTTGTATCTCGAAAAGAATTATTTGAATTACCATAGCGTGATCTCACTTTATCTTCCAACATCTTTTACTCTTAAATCAAATGATTCCTTATCTTTAATATCTAATGGATATTAATATCTAATATCCATTATCTTTAATATCTAATTTAATACCTATTTAGCTCTCCCAAAGAAAGAAAAACAAAAACAAAACTGAACAACTGTAATGGGTGTTCAACAATGAACAAATCGTTTTACACTCAGTAGATATACATATATATGTATATTTATGTATATATTAACGTCGTAAGCATGTACGTACTTTAGTACCAAAACGCTATAGGTATCAGAATTTAGGATCTACAATGGCAGTTTATGTTTTCCAGTAAGACACCTAATGTAAATATTAGTAGCTAGAAATGGTTTGTGTTAAATGATTTGCTTTTAGTGCTTATTCATTCTTTAATTCTCTTGATTTTTTCTTAAACCTTTTTTTTACATGTTAAAAGCTGATACAAAAAAAAGGCTTTAAATCGACATTCACAATGAAAATAAATCCCTCGAATTCTGTGTTGGGGACCGCAGAGACTAGTAATCTATATTTTAGTGTATGAGGTCCCATTTCGATGACGCAGCCAAATATTAGTAAGAAGAAGGGTAACATAAATTACTGCAGCTTACAAATGGAACAACACTACAGCAAGAAAACCTGCCATGAGAGAAGGAGAAAGAGAAGAAGCGCCCCCTGTCCGAATCATATCGCGACGCTTCATGAGGATCCGGTCAATCACGTGGATGACGCCGTTAGTTGCTTGTACATCTGGGCGGATAATAACAGCTTCGAGGCCTTCCCATTCCACGGATACATCTAGGTAACAGAAAATTGATATGTATTCAGCATTTGCCTACATTAATATGTATCAAATTGATTTGGTTAATGTTTAATTACATTTCCAGATGACTCTTAAAAACGTTGTTTAAGAAACAAGTTACATAATTCTGGTGAAGAAAAAGAATATAAGAAAACACACACGTTAACAATTATAAAACACATACTAACTGTCTATGAATAACAAATATTATCCATGCTTGAAAATAGATATATTTATCAATTTATTATTGTATAAATGTTAATAATTATGAGATTAATTATTGTTGCTACTTACGTTATCTGAAGTTATATCTACTTACCAGCTTTACCTAAGCCTCGCTTAACATTCAAGACTCCATGAACCATTTGAACCTTGTCCTTTCTCTCCAAATCCTGAGCAAATATTTCCTGGCCCACGATAAGATGTCTGTCTAAGATCTGAGGAGGAAATATATTCCCAAACTACATGTACAAGGCTTAAAAAGTGACATAATTTTATATTGTGCTTTTGTTAATCATCATCTTTAGTTTTTATATTCCATGTCTTATGTATTTATTGTTCAGATAGATCAGCAGCTGTTGGTACTGCCCACTATGTCTTATGTATTGTTCAGATAGATCAGCAGCTGTTGGTACTGCCCACTATGTCTTATGTATTTATTGTTCAGATAGATCAGTAGCTGTTGGTACTGCCCACTATGTCTTATGTATTGTTCAGATAGATCAGCAGCTGTTGGTACTGCCCACTATGTCTTATGTATTTATTGTTCAGATAGATTAGCCGCTGTTGGTACTGCCCACTATGTCTTATGTATTTATTGTTCAGATAGATCAGCCGCTGTTGGTACTGCCCACTATGTCTTAT